GACATTTCTATATCCCCTGTCTTTTTTGTAATGGTTTTCTGCCGACATTATATGTAAACCGTTGAGCGGCTGCTAGCGGGACCCAAAAAGAAACCCCAAGGGATAACGAAACCATTATATATGCAGAATTAAATTAAGGACAAAGATAAGAGAGACCGGAATGGCCATTTCTGGCCCATTGGCCCTCGTCAGCCAGTCACACCCTAACCTAAGTGGTGTCCCACCCGAGGTTCCATCCGCGATCCCGGCATTTAGACGTCCAATGCTCCAACCACTACGTCATATGCTCGTTGCCTTGCCAGCTTGTTTGCTAATGAGCCAGAAATGGTCGATCTTGTCTTTGTCAGTACTGTCATCCTGCCTATATTATTAGCTGCTATGCGGCTGCTAGTGGGGCCTGAGGATGAGCCTGAAGGCACAACGGGACGAGTAAGTCCTGTAATTGATCAGTAAACCCCTATTCTCCACTGCCATGTATAATATGTCGTCTATGGCGTATAGCGCTAATAGATTCCATTTTTTGAATTGACGCACATAAATCTGAGCGTCGACGCGGTTAAAAAGATGTGTCGGAAGTTCTTAAAGTACGTAATAGCGATAAATTCGTATGCTTTATTTCAATATCGCAATTATAGTTAAGAAAAAATATGAAAAAAATATAAAAACAGAAAATGCTGAAGCCATCATTAGCTTATGTGCTTCAGTGAGACGAGAAAGCTTTTTGTAAAACCAAGCGCCAGGCAACCGTTTAACGGCTTAGTATAAATTCGATTTCAAACGATAAATCATTTACTTCCATAAACATCAGGCGTCTACGCAATATGTCCGGTAGTTGATTGATTAACTGCAGACACTTTTGGTAAGACGCAAACTCATCCTCACTCATTTGCAAGCTTCGCTCTTGTAATGTGTTCAGGAAGGAATTTGCACTGTCAAGCTTATCGCGCACAATCTCCCGGAAGAACCTCTTTGGGAGTATCCTGCGAACTAGACAACGTGCTTGTGAAAAGAGACGGGAATGTCCTCGTTTAATCAGCGCCTCAAATGACCGGTAGTATTTAGTTGCAAGATTCCCAACCGGGTCGCCGAGTCCGCACCGTGAAGGTAGATCAGGTAACTTCTCAGCACCAGCAAAGATGATATTTAATAAGAGGGCAAGATGAGCTCTGTACGGCAGGGGAACTTTTTGCTGCGGATCAGCTTCTATGCGCCATTGAGCCAACGCCAGGAGGAACCTTGAAAAAGGTTCTGTTGTCTCGTTTGTTCGAAGCTCTTGAACGTTACATAATTTGAAAAAATTTACGGGAAGGCAAAGTCCGCTCTGAAGGAGCCTGCGGAGGAAACCGTGTGCATCAACCGGATGGGGTAATAAAGTTCCTTCCAATTGTGGTTGCTCCAGTAACTGTGAAGTGGCTGTTTTATAGAGCTGGTAGACCAAATTAACGGCAAAACCTCGAGGTCCCGATGATCCACTATAAAATTCGATATATGCTCCCGAGGTGATAATTCTATCCATGATTGAGGTCAAAATGCCGCATGATTCTGCTTTTTCTGTCGTTTTCAGGACCTGTCTAGACCACTGATGGCAGGCTGGTGGGTTGTTTAATATGCAGAAGAGAAACATATCTAGAAGGGAGCAGAAATGGCGACCGGCATGGAAGGCACCTTGCATTTCAAGAACGCAAATTGGAGCATTGACATTTACATATCCTGTCAGACATTGGAGCACTTTCTCCCACTTCCCTAGGGAAATTGCGTGAATGCATTTGAGGTAGTCATCAGGACAGGACAGAAAGGCAACTAACAGGGGGTTTGCACG